GGGCCGGCGGGGAAGAGGTGAAGAGCCATATGCGGCCTAATTACGGCGCAAAAACAATGCAAAAAAAAAGAAAAACAGACGTAATGACAACAGGAAATTGGATGTCGACTTACACAAAAGATTCACACTCAAAATATGGTAGAAATTGTAAATATTGTCATTAAAAACACACAAAAATAGACAAAAAAATCACACAATGTTCATCAGTTTCAGTGCTCCTCGTACACATCTCGCCATCTACTGGGAGAAAAGGGAATTGCAATGAGGGAAATAAACTAAACTAGAGAAGAAAAAAATAACGGTCAACATCTGCAGTAGAACTGATATCGGTGATTGCTGTAAAATTATGTCAACCTACTCATAGTTTGGGGCATTCCCGGGTCTAAACCAGGTCTAAACCAGGACCAAAACCAGGACTAAAACCAGGACTAAAACCAGGACTAAAACCAGGACTAAACCAGGACTAAACAAGGACTAAAATCAGGTCTAAACCAGAACTAAAACCAGGTCTAAACCAGGTCTAAATCAGGGCTAAATCAGGACTAAACCAGGTGTAAACAAGGTCTAAACAAGGACTAAACTAGATCTAAACCAGGACTAAACTAGGAGTAAAACCAGGTCTAAACCAGGACTAAACCTGAAATAAAACCAGGACTAAACCAGGTCTAATCCAGGACTAAAATCAGGACTAAACCAGAAATAAAACCAGGACTACACTAGGACTAAACCCAGTACTAAACAAGGCCTAAACTGGGACTAAACCAGGACTAAACCAGGACTAAACCAGGATTAATGTTGCAAAAGTGCTTTGAATATGATTGTTTTTACCTATGACGCAACAATACTGGGAAAATTAAAACTGCATTTGGTAAGTACTAAGAGGTAAAGACAGCAAAATGAAGCAAAATACAACTCATGTTATAACAAATTAAAGCTAAACCAAAAAAAACAACTGACGCCAAAAAGCAGCAGGTGTCAAGAGGAAGTGAAAGGAAAAGGAGGAAGAGGAGGAAGAGGAGGAAGAGGAGGAGGAGAGCGCTCCGAGGGGCACGGACAACCTGTTCCATCGGCTAAATATGGAAGTCCAGAGGAAGGGCCGGCGGGGAAGAGGTGAAGAGCCATATGCGGCCTAATTACGGCGCAAAAACAATGCAAAAAAAAGGAAAAAAACGGACGTCATGACAACAGGAAATTGGATGTCGACTTACACAAAAGATTCACACTCAAAATATGGTAGAAATTGTAAATATTGTCATTAAAAACACACAATAATAGACAAACAATCACACAATGTTGGTCAGTTTCAGTGCTCCTCGTACACATCTCGCCATCTACTGGGAGAAAAGGGAATTGCAATGAGAGGAAATAAACTAAACTAGAGAAGAAAAAAATAACGGTCAACATCTGCAGTAGAACTGATATCGGTGATTGCTGTAAAATTATGTCAACCTACTCATAGTTTGGGGCATTCCCGGGTCTAAACCAGGTCTAAACCAGGTCTAAACCAGGACCAAAACCAGGACTAAACAAGGACTAAAATCAGGTCTAAACCAGAACTAAAACCAGGTCTAAACCAGGTCTAAATCAGGGCTAAACCAGGTGTAAACAAGGTCTAAACAAGGACTAAACAAGGACTAAACTAGATCTAAACCAGGACTAAACTAGGAGTAAAACCAGGTCTAAACCAGGACTAAACCTGAAATAAAACCAGGACTAAACCAGGTCTAATCCAGGACTAAAATCAGGACTAAACCAGAAATAAAACCAGGACTACACTAGGACTAAACCCAGTACTAAACAAGGCCTAAACTGGGACTAAACCAGGACTAAACCAGGATTAATGTTGCAAAAGTGCTATGAATATGATTGTTTTTACCTTTGACGCAACAATACTGGGAAAATTAAAACTGCATTTGGTAAGTACTAAGAGGTAAAGACAGCAAAATGAAGCAAAATACAACTCATGTTATAACAAATTAAAGCTAAACCAAAAAAAACAACTGACGCCAAAAAGCAGCGGTGTCAAGAGGAAGTGAAAGGAAAAGGAGGAAGAGGAGGAGGAGGAGGAAGAGGAGGAGGGAGAGCGCTCCGAGGGGCACGGACAACCTGTTCCATCGGCTAAATATGGAAGTCCAGAGGAAGGGCCGGCGGGGAAGAGGTGAAGAGCCATATGCGGCCTAATTACGGCGCAAAAACAATGCAAAAAAAAAGAAAAACAGACGTCATGACAACAGGAAATTGTATGTTGACTTAAAATATGGAATAAATTGTAAATATTGTGGTTAAAAACACACAATAATGGTCAAATAATAATAAACAATCACACAATGTTCATCAGTTTCAGCACTCCACGTACACATCTCGCCATCTACTGGGAGAAAAGGGAATTGCAATGAGGGAAATAAACTAAACTAGAGAAGAAAAAATAACGGTCAACATCTGCAGTAGAACTGATATCGGTGATTGCTGTAAAATTATGTCAACCTACTCATAGTTTGGGGCATTCCCGGGTCTAAACCAGGTCTAAACCAGGACCAAAACCAGGTCTAAACCAGGCCTAAACCAGGACTAAAATCAGGTCTAAACCTGGACTAAACCTGAACTAAAACCAGGACTAAACAAGGACTAAACCTGAACTAAAACCAGGCCTAAACCAGGCCTAAATCAGGACTAAACTAGGGTTAAACCAGGTCTAAACCGGGACTAAACCAGGTCTAAACCAGGCCTAAACCAGGTCTAAACCAGGCCTAAAACCAGGACTAAACAAGGACTAAATCAGGTCTAAATCAGGTCTAAACAAGGACTAAACAAGGACTAAACCAGGTCTAAACCTGGTCTAAACCAGGCCTAAACCTGGTCTAAACCAGGTCTAAACCTGGACTAAACCTGAACTAAAACCAGGCCTAAACCAGGCCTAAATCAGGACTAAAACTAGGGTTAAACCAGGTCTAAACCGGGACTAAACCAGGTCTAAACCAGGCCTAAACCAGGTCTAAACCAGGCCTAAACCAGGCCTAAATCAGGACTAAAACCAGGGTTAAACCAGGTCTAAACCGGGACTAAACCAGGACTAAACCAGGTCTAAACCAGGACTAACCCAGGACTAAAATCTGGAGTAAACCAGAAATAACTCAACTAGCTCACATTCACCTAATTTGAAAACCCCTGAACTAGAATTGAACATTAATGAAAGCAACATTGATCGGATGTGATCTGACGGCAAAAGTGCTTTGAATATGATTGTTTTTACCTATGACGCAACAATACTGGGAAAATTCAAACTGCATTTGGTAACAACTAAGAGGTAAAGACAGCAAAATGAAGCAAAATACAACTCATGTTATAACAAGTTAAAGCTAAACCAAAAAAGACAACTTTGCCCTTGAAAAGTCTAGAAACCAGATCTAGATATTAAATCAGATTTGACTTTTATTGCATTCAAACGCAGCTGGACTGTCAAAGCTGAGCGACAAGTGTCCGTTTGTTCTGCGCCGTACATCACCGACTGTTTCTGCTTAAAAATCTCCACTGACAAATTCCAAAAATGCAACTCGTCCATTAATAAAATCTCGCGTTTCTGGCAACACCATAAAACCGCACATCAGCCCCCGCGGAGCCTGAGTAACGTATAAGTCAGCGTCAACGAAACGACTCGAGGATTTCACTGTTATTTCAGTGTCAACAACAATAAATCCCACCTGAAAAAAAAACCAAAAAAAAACACTAAACGCCACCGATAAAAGCGACACAAAGGAGGAAACTCTGTCTAAACGAGTCTTACTGTGAACAGATCAAAACCAAGACTAAACCAGGTCTAAACCAAGACTAAACCAAGACTAAACCAGGTCTAAACCAAGACTAAACCAGGTCTAAACCAAGACTAAACCAAGACTAAACCAGGTCTAAACCAAGACTAAACCAGGTCTAAACCAAGACTAAACCAGGTCTAAACCAAGACTAAACCAGGTCTAAACCAAGACTAAACCAGGTCTAAACCAAAACTAAACCAGACTAAACCAAGACTAAACCAAGACTAAACCAGGTCTAAACCAGACTAAACCAAGACTAAACCAGACTAAACCAAGACTAAACCAGGTCTAAACCAAGACTAAACCAGGTCTAAACCAAAACTAAACCAGGTCTAAACCAAGACTAAACCAGGTCTAAACCAAGACTAAACCAAGACTAAACCAGGTCTAAACCAAGACTAAACCAAGACTAAACCAAGACTAAACCAGGTCTAAACCAAGACTAAACCAAGACTAAACCAGGTCTAAACCAAGACTAAACCAAGACTAAACCAAGTCTAAACCAAGACTAAACCAGGTCTAAACCAAGACTAAACCAGGTCTAAACCAAGACTAAACCAAGACTAAACCAAGTCTAAACCAAGACTAAACCAGGTCTAAACCAAGACTAAACCAGGTCTAAACCAAGACTAAACCAGGTCTAAACCAAGACTAAACCAAGACTAAACCAAGTCTAAACCAAGACTAAACCAAGACTAAACCAAGACTAAACCAAGACTAAACCAGGTCTAAACCAAGACTAAACCAAGTCTAAACCAGTCTAAACCAGGACTAAACCAAGACTAAACCAGGTCTAAACCAAGACTAAACCAAGACTAAACCAAGACTAAACCAGGTCTAAACCAGGTCTAAACCAGGTCTACACCAACTACACAAAAAAACAAAAAAAAAACACTAAACGCCACCGATAAAAGCGACACAAAGGAGGAAACTCTGTCTAAACGAGTCTTTCTGCGAACAGATCAAAAGCAAGACTAAACCAGGTCTAAACCAAGACTAAACGAAGACTAAACCAAGACTAAACCAGGTCTACACCAACTACACAAAAAAAACAAAAACAAAAAAACACTAAACGCCACCGATAAAAGCGACACAAAGGAGGAAACTCTGTCTAAACGAGTCTTTCTGTGAACAGATCAAAAGCCGCTCAAGCACAAAAAAACACGACAATACTCAGGTTTGGACTCGGAAAACGCGAAGACGCCGTTAGTCCCGAACCCAGCGGAGTGTAGGGAGTATTATAGCGGACTTACGGCAGGGCACCAGCAGCTTCTTGACCTCCTCCACGGCTCTCCTCATCTTGATCTCGGCTCGGGTCTGGGTGTCCTCCACGCTGATGAGAACGTGCAGGTCCTCGTTTAGGTGCTCCCAGTTGGGTTTGCCTCGGTTCTGCTCCTCCTGCGGGACAAAAAACGAAAACGAGGAAGAGGAGGAGGTGAGCGGAGAGAAACACGGACAAAATCAACAATAAATCCATTTTCTAGAAGTCGTTTTGTAATGTTACACTCGTTTAATGCAGAGGAGGGCTGGGCGATATGGATAAAAAAATATATCTCGATATATTTTGTTATATCTCGATATACGATATATATCTCGATATACGATATATATCTCGATATGTGCACAGGAAAAATAACCCTCTAAAACTGAAAACTGCAAAAACAAAAAATTCCACAAGGTCTTTTTTTTTATTGAAGTGTAAGAGGTCGGCAGTTCATACAGGAACATTTAAGATTACAAAAAAACCCTAATTACATAAATAATAATTTAACTGTAAAATAAAATAAATAAAACATATTTCCTTCTTTTCATTCATAAACTAGAAAAGCAGTCAGAGAGCGCAGACCTCCGCCAAGGACTACCCCCATTTTTTATATAAATTGCGATAAAATCAGTCTTCTGGATCAGATCCGGATCAGCCTTTGGAATATGAAAGAGGATCCCATTGTCCATCCCTGAGTCAAATTTCATGGGGTTTGGTCAATAATTAACCCAGATATTGAGAAACAAAATCTTTGGCCCCATTTACCACAATGTTAACAAAAATTTCAAAGTGATCCAGAATCCAGGATTTCTTCCGGATCAGCCCCAAAATGAAATCAGTTCTTCCTTTTCACATTTCCAACAAATCCTGAAAATTTCATCAAAATCGGTCCATAACTTTTTGAGTTATGTTGCTAACAGACAAACAAACAAACAAACAAACAAACAACAGGACAAACAAACAAACAAACAAACAAACAGACAAACGCCGGCAAAAACTTAACCTTCTTGACGGAGGTAATAAAACAACTCAACACAAGCTCATCTTTGCATTAACTCTGTTATCCAAACCAGAACCAGAACCATGAGCTCCTTTAACAGAAGAAGTTCAGGATGTTCCTTATTTTAACAGATCCATGTTCCAGCGTCAGGATCTGAGGTTTAATCCCACAATCCACTGCAGATCAAACCCAACGACTGCAGCAGATTATTAATTAAAATCTTCTGCATAAATAAACTTTACATGACTAAACTTTACAGTATATAAACATAACGACTCTAGAGCCACATCAGCCCGTTTAATGTGTTTAATTCAGTTTTGCACACGTGTGTTTACATTTTACAGAAACTAAACTTAAGCTCATGGCTCATTTGCATAAACAGCACTTCTCCTGCAGCTCAGCTCGTTCAGCTTCTTTCGGGCTAAAGGACGAGACTCGGTGGAACATGAGGATGTGCTGCTGCTGGTGGTTTTGTCTGTAAATGGTGGAAAAGGTTCGTGGGGCTTGAAGCTTTTCACTGGCACCAACTTTCAGCGTCACTAGTGACGAGTGAAGGAGACACGAGCGAACAACATCAGGGAGACGGAGGCGACGAGAGAGAAGATAAACAAGCGAAGCGGCGAAATCAAATTAGAATATAAGCATTATATCGATACATACGATATGTCAGAATTCATATCAAGTTTAAAAACTATCTCGATATATTTAAAATATCGATATATCGCCCACCCCAATGCAGAGTTGGTGTTTTTTTTAGCTGTAGTCACACTGTAAAACTGTTTTTGTTCTAAATTTGAGCCCAAAAATGCAAACGGAACATTTTTTAAAATCAATTTTAAAAGAAATCTCACTGCGCTTTAAATCTATACGACTTTAATTAGTGATTGGTTAAAATCTAAACTATCAAAATCTTACTTTTACATGCATTTTTATTTTACGTTTTCGCTTAATCCAATCTAACTTTATTTGTAGAGCACAATTTATAAACAAGATGGTTTCCAAAGCGTTTTACACAGCAACGTAAAACATTTTACTTAAAAAAATAACTAAATAAATCTGCAGAATTATGTTCCAACCAAAAGGAAACTAGTAGAATCATTGAATAAAATAATAAAATCAATTAACAAAAATAATAAAATCAATACATAAAAGCAGTATTAAAAAATAAAAAATAAAAATAAAATAAATTAATTTAATTAAAAATAAAAATTAAATTAAATTTAAAATTAAATAAAGAATACAGACACAGAGGGCCACACAATAAAAAAAATCATCTGTTTTCCAAAATGGCGTTGTTCTTTTCTTGAATATATTTTTTGTCAAGTCTTTTTTCTTAAGAGCTTCTGTCACAACTAAGTTTCTACTGTGATTCTCTCAAACGGAGTGAGTTTTCAGTCTCGTCTGTAACGTAGTTTAAGACCAGAGTCAAAACTCACCTCTTCTCCTTGGTATTTAGTACAAACTCGTCAGGTTATCTTGGTGTTTTTATTGTAGTTTTCACGTGTTTTCTGTATATCTGTAACTGTTTCGTCTGTTTTTGTTGACTGCACTTTGGTCAGCTGAAGTCGTTTTAAATGTGCTATAGAAATAAACTTTAATTGAATTGAATGTAACACAAACGAATCAAACGAACAATTACTATTCCCAAAAAACCCAAATTGAATTATACACAAAAACCATTTAGGAGTTTAAATTTTAAAACAGGTCCAAGTTTAGCCAAGTCAAGCTGCAGTTTTCCACAATCTCCAATTCTAGTTTTCAGAGGTGAATTTTCTCCGTTTGTGTAAAAGATGTGCACAAACAAAAAGAAATGTCTCAGTTAAAAAAAAAAAAAAATAAAAAAATCTGTATTCTATATTCAAAAAATATTAATTATTCATCATCAAGAAATACATCATTTTTTTGCACAATAAATGTAATAAAGAAATCTGTATTTTTTACTCCAATATGATTCACCCCCGTCATGTATGAGTGTGTGCATCGTATATGTGCATGTGTGTGTGTGTGCGTGTGTGTGTGTGTGTGTGTGTGTGTGTGTGTGTGTGTCCATGGCAACCTCTCTCTCTCTCTGTCGGAGCAGGGAGCAGGTGGGTGGCGTTGGGCTGCTGCTCCGAGCTCTTGTGGCTGGAGGAATTTTCGGCAGCAGCGTGTCAGGTGGGCCTCCTGCAGCGGCCCAGATGCACTGTGGGTAATTATCCCCCCCAGTACACGAGCGGGGGCGTGTGTGTGTGTGTGTGTGTGTGTGGGGCGTGAGGGGGAGGTGGACGACCCGCTGTCACCAGACCAGCAGAGGGCAGGCTCAGGGCGAGACCCACACTACACTCCATTGGAAATCTAAATTCAGACGTTTTTTTCAGTGTTCACAGGGAATTTTTTATTTTTTACAGATGACGTCCGTTCCTTTAGACCGGACCTGGGCAGTTACAGATCTTGGTCCTTTGGTTGATTCTGACCGGACGGTTTAAGATCATTTGGAATTACAAAATGCTTTTTGATTGCTTTTATTTTAGAGGTGTTTTTTTTTTTTTTTAATGACATTTTTTGTAAGACTCACTTTTTCATTGTCCTGGTTTAGTCCTGGTTTTAGTTCTCATTTTAATCCTGGTATTAGTCCTGGTTTTAGAGCTGGTTTAGACATGATCTAGACCTGGTTTAGTCCTGATTTTAGTCCTGATTTAGACTTGATTTAGACCTGGTTTAGACCTTGTTTTAGTCCTGATTTAGACTTGATTTAGACCCGGTTTTAGTTCTGGTTTTAGACCTGGTTTAGATCTCATTTTTGTTCTGATTTTAGTCCTGGTTTAGACTTGCTTTAGACCTGGTTTAGACCCGTTTTAGTTCTCTTTTAGTTCTGGTTTTAGTCCTGTTTTTAGTCCTAGTTTAGATTTGATTTAGACCTGGTTTAGACCTGGTTTAGTTCCAGTTTTCGTCCTGATTTTGGTCCTGGTTTTAGTTCTGGGTTGGTCCTGGTTTGGTCCTGGTTTAGACTTGATTTAGTCCTGGCTTTAGACCTGGTTTTAGTCCTGGTTTAAGTTCTGGTTTAGAACTGGTGTAGACCTGGTTTTAGACCTGATTCAGACCTCATTTAGGTCCTGGCTTAGACTTGTTTTAGTCCTGATTTTAGTCCTAGTTTAGTCCTGGTTTAAATCTGGTTTAGATCTAATTTTAGTCCTGGTTTAGACCTGGTTTTTAATCACTGAACATGTTTTGCACCTCTCGTTTTTCTTGTGGACTTGTCACGTTTGCATTCGCGTCGCATCTCGTGGTCCGAACATTACGACTTTCCCGGCGTTCATCTCGACCTTCGCCTCCTCGCTCACGCCGCCTCAGAGGAAGTCCGGACCTCTTTCAGACCTCTTTCAGACCTCTTTCGGACCTCTTTCAGACCTCTTTCAGACCTCTTTCAGACCTCTTTCAGACCTCTTTCAGACCTCGGGCTTTCACGACGGCGCGGTGACACACGATACCTCGGCCGTCGCTTTTCAGACTCGTCCTCGCCGCGTTCACCGACCGCGCGGAGCTTCCTCTCGTTCCACAAATATCCCGGCGCTTTTTTTTCCCCGTGTATGTGCCTCGGAGTCGGCGGCGAACAGATGTCGTCCACAAAGCGCCGCGGCTCCCGTTTCCCCTCGACTATTCAGCGTCTCAAAAGCTCGATCCATGAAAGAGTTTGAAGAGCCGGCGAACGGGCAGAGGGTCTGAATGGAGCCGCGCGACGTGCAGGTTCAAATACTCACACAGCTGCAGGAGAAACGGAAACTACGGTGATTCCCCCCGACCTGGTTTGGACCTGGTTTGGACCTGGTTTGGACCTGGTTTACTCCTGGTTTTAGTTCTGGTTTTAATCCTGATTTAGACTTGACTTTAGACCTGGTTTTATTCCTGGTTTTAGTTCTGCTTTACTTCTGGATTTAGTCCTGGTTTAGACCTTGGTTTAGACCTGGTTTAGACCTGGTTTAGTCCTGGTTTTAGTCCTGGTTTAGTCCTGGTTTAGTCCTGGTTTTAGTCCTGGTTTAATCTTGGTTTTAGTTCTGGTTTAGACTTGATTTAGACCTAGGTTAGTCCTGGTTTTAGTTCTGGTTTAGTCCTGATTTTAGACCTGGTTTAGATCTGGTTTAGTGCTGGTTTAGACCT